AAAAATGGATTGTTGTTGATATCCAAATGATGAGATCCAAAAATAGGTATCTATTTAGTGGATATTATTTTCAAGTACAGGTATTTCTCATTTTTAAGGATATTTAGAAACACTTAATGACATTTTTGCGAACGATATGGCCAAGTCGATATTTTTGACTTACGGTATGTGAAGTAGAAGGCTGATTTGAAGCAAAAAATGATATGTCTGATACTGCATGGGGACCTTAAAGATAACAATCATATTAATCGACGCTAATATTTTATCAGAAAAAAGGGAGATATTGCAATTAGATGTGAGTGATGTGTTGTTGGTTTTAGCTGTTTTAATAAAAGAATAATAATATTGTTTGATATTCTGATATCTTTAAGAGTAGGTAATTATTATTGGAGGCCATACATTAGAGAGACTATATAATTAATTTTAAAGATATGTTTGAAAACTTTCACTATGTTAACTAAAATTTTAATTTGTAGAAAGTTTGAAACCTTTGGATATGAGTTTTGCTTTATTCGACGTAACCTCAACAATTTGATTAATAAAATTACAGTTATTCGGATTTTGTTAACGTCGAAGTTAAGACATTGATTAATTTGCTTTCATTATCGTTGATCAAAAAACGATTATCCCTATTTTGAAATATGAAATAAAAAAGAGTTTAGTTAGAAATTCATGAAAGAAGTCCTACTGCATAACAATCCGACACCAAAAAAGAGAATCTTCTTGAATCTTTATGCCATGCAAAACAAAATAAGCAAGCAGTTACTATCGTTATTCCTCAGGGTAGTGTTATAGGATGTTTATTATTTCTAATTTATATTAATGATTTACCTAAAATTATAAAGGACCCGTGTGTCTTGTTCGCTGATGATATCTCATTGCTTGTGGCGAGTAACAACAATCAAAATCTAAATGAAAAATTAACTTCTACTCTTACGAAAACAATTAATTGGTTGAATTTACACAACCTTGATATAAATATCACAAAAACTAAATTAATATCTTTTTATCCCCATCAAAAAACGCCAATAAGCATAAATTTTAGTTTAGAGAATATACAAGTAGAGGTTGTGAACGAGGTTACCTTGCTCGGTTTAACAATAGATACCCATATAAATTGGAAACCCCATATTAAGAAATTACGTGATAAGTTATCGCGATTCTCGTATGCCCTTCGAGAAATCAAAAAGACGACAGACTTGTCCACAGCTGTAGTGACTTATTACGCTTATGCATACTCTTGGCTGAGTTGTGGTATAACATTGTGGGGAAACAGCACTGAAGCACCTTCTGCTTTTATTTTCCAAAAAAAATAATTAGAATCATAGCAAATATTGATGAAACTATCTCTTGTAGGCCTTATTTCCAAAAATTTGAAATTTTAACCTTACCGTGCATATACATATATGAAGTCTGCAAAGGAGAATGGGCAATTTACTATGAGAGATCGGCTATTTTTGCGTAACCGTGCACATTGTTGAAACCAACGGTAAACGATAGAGATAATTATTTCTAGAATGAGTAGGAAAACAACCATTTTAAAATTATGCCGTAGTTTGAGAATATCTGAATATTTAACAGAGATTTTGAGGTTATGTCATTATAATATCTACATATATAAGTGCAATAAAATGAATAATGTATTTCAAACAATCGATGTAATTCAAACATTCGACAGACATAAATATTTAATTGCGAAAAAGGACATATCTTTACCGAAAAAAGGAAATATTGGATTTTTTATAGTTAAGGATAAACTCAAAAACAACTATGTCAATTAAAAACTAGCCTTTGACTTATATAATACCTGACCAACATTATCAGAGTTAAAATACTTTATTTCGTAAAAGTCGTAGTTATATTGTAGTAGGTAGTTATATACTCGCCGCTAAAGAAAATATTATAACGAATGTCACTAGCAATCTTAATTTAAGATATTAAGGTATTTATCTAACGGAATCTTGTCATATTTATGTATAACACCGCTTATACACTCATGTTTTTTCCTCCATGAAAACTTATCCTTATCCTTTATGCCTATATGAATAAACGAAGCCTATTCTTTGGGATTAGTGACAAACGTTAACTTGGCTGAGCGTTGGTTCAGTCTGTACGCGTCATATTAAGATGCGCCACCCAGCCGATTGCATTAATTTGCCTCCTATCATTTACTATGAAATAGCGTACATATCCTTTTTCATATTCAAAAGAAAACCGAAGGAAGCACAGACTAAGAAAAAGATACTACGTGAAGGAAGTCTTATTTTAAATTGTAATTAGATAATCGATTTTTTTCGATACATAGTAATCTACGAATCGAAGAAAATCCCTTTGTTTTCTATAAGCGATAAGGCGATGAGCCTTATAGAGTCTATTTCTGCATGATTGACATTTATCCAAGGCAAGACTCATGATATGTCAGTTTAGCAACTGTTTCACTACGGTTAATTTTAAACGCCTCATAATTTTAAAGTAGTATTTATATATAATAAATTATAATTAAAGAGAAGATTTATGATGAATAAATACATAGTGCGCAATTTGCGTAATTTTAGCCGACTTCTGCCCATTCTCCTTTGTTCGCAAATATCCTGAATTCTATACTACACGTAGAATATATTCCAAATATGATCTTAGACATAAAAACAGATTAAACTTACCATGTTCCCGCCTAAACATGCACTCGTCTGGTCCATTGGTCATGTCCATTAAAATATATAACAAACTATCAGATTCAATAAAGAATGAACTGTCCTATAACTCTTTTATTAATAAATTAAAACGATTTCTAATTTGCAAAAGCTATTACAGTCAAAATGAATATCTAGACGACAATATTAAAAACATTACTACATAAAATGAGTACATATTATTACGTTTGCAAATTAATATAATGAAAATAATCGGACAATTTAATAAAAAACTTTAATGGAGTTAAAATTTTAATAGCAATAAATAATATAGTTTTAAATTAATGATTGGAATAATGGAAGTAATAAAGCAATTACAGGAAAATAAAATATGTACAATAAATGAAATCCTGAATTCAAAATGCCTCAATAGATCAATTTTAGATAATAATAATAATAATAATAATAATGCCAAATGACATAAATTAGCAAATTTTAAAGAAACAAATTATATTTTAAATTATAACAACAATATTAAATTCATTACACGTGAATCAATCAATTTTATACAAATAATATGAAATTGGCTTGTTTTGATTTGTATTTTTTATTGTATTTTTGAAAACATTATCTGACTATTAATTATAATTATTAAACTTACCATTTTATTTTATTTTTTGACGATGTAGTAGTAATATGATTATTAAATTACATTTTATTTTATCAACAATATTAAATTAATTAATTGCAAATCAATTTCATACAAGTGATAATATTACAGAATAATATCAAATTTATAAATTTGTCTTATTTTATTTATATGTATATTATATTGTTGATGAATTTGAATGACTGTTAGTGATAATTGATTAACTTTATGATTATTATTAAATTGCCAGACCACTTATTTTATTTTTGATATGTATCCTCTCTATAAAGTGTTGCTGTGCCCGACAGGGTCCATAGTTTGATACTAATATTATTATTTTGTAACATCAATGTAACACTATGGTTTTGCAATAAACATTTGAGTATTAAGTATTGAGTATCGTAATCTACTAAAGGGCAATTTATTAATTTTTGTTCTCTAAATAATCTATAAAATTGTAACAGTCATTGATGTACGTTATCGGGTAATTATAGGGTACCAAAGAGCACTGAAGACGACAGATTTATTTTTAACTTCTATAACGGACCTAAACTTGTATTAATAAAAGGTCCAGTTATTATGAATTAGTTTTATTTTTTATATATGATAATTTTAGTATGTACAAGCAAAATATATAAATGACAAGTTCAACCAAAAACAAAACATATGAATATGAAAAAGACATTTTAGACAGTTAATAGAATATCAACAAAAATTACAAAAGAGTTATTATATATAAAATTATGGTGGATTCGTCCACAACTTCCTTGGAAAATGCAAGCAAAAAAAACTATTTGTTTGGTTACTCCAGTTGCGAGTGCAACCGATTACATCTAGTGGAAAATAGTTAAACTTTCTATATGAGATTATCTAGCTAGTACATCTAGAGCACGTTAGATGACTCTAAGGATATATTGATATTTTATTCATAAACATGATGTTTGGCTAGAAATCATCGATGTGCCGATGTTATCAAAGTTAAAACATCGATGTTTTCTAGCTGAAAATCGATGTTTATTAAACATCGATGAATATCGAACATCCCTCGAAGTATCGGCTTCTGGTTTCGATACCGAGTACTCATGTGGTATCGAAGGTCATGGTATCGATACCATAAAAGTATCACTCCCAAAGTATCGATACTACTCAGTATCGAGTATTTATCGACATCATTAAAGAAGGCTAATCCTAAAAAAAAAATCTACCAGACGGACAGACAAACAAAAATTTGTAAAATGTGTATGAAAAATTGTTACAAAATATTTGTTTTTGGGAAACGTAATAAATTTAAAAAAAATGTCTATAACGAAAATATAGTTTATTAAAAGAATCAATTGCCTTTGCCTTTCCATTTCAAAGTAAATGGAAGATGAGAAAAAAGAAAAAAAAAAAACAAAAAAAAGCCGATCCAATACTTCCATACATTTATACAATTCAGTCATACATTATTTTTATGGCAGCCAAAAGGGTAAAAATATAAAAATAATAAACCAAAGTAAAATATATATTCTTTAGCAAGAATACTCGATACCAGCAATTTTGATGAGTACTTGCGAGTATTTACCTTTTTGTAGTATCGAGTAGTTAGTATCGAGTTTCGCTTTTGAAAGTATCGATACCTACTCGGTATCGAAAGTATCGTTCCCTACTCGGTATCGAAAGTATCGTTCGACCCTACCTATTGTTATTTTCCGATGATTGACCTCCGGCCTTGTTTATTTGATAAGAATTTTGCCTTTACCACATAAAACTTGTATTATTCTGTTACTATTTGCTGATAAAAGTTCGTACGACTGATAAAAATTTATTACATAAAATATAAATGTACGTACTTATTGTTCTTAGATAATTAGACTGTTGTTCATTCTAAACATATATTTTGTTTTCAGATCCGCTTTAATAAATTCATGAGTGAAATTGCCAAAAAAATTGCTGTACTACATTATTTATCCCTCTATGTTATATTTTAACAATGCTTGATCTTCCTATTGATGCAATGAGTGTTAATACAAGTTTGGCAGAGGTAAGGGATGGGTACTTTATATTGTTATTTAAAACTTTATAAAATTATTTTTACAACTCACAATGATGAAACATTTTCAGAATTATTTCAAACAAAATAATAGTGAATTTAGTGGTAAGAAATACTTAAATTATGATGACGCTAAGCATGAAGAAGTTATTTATACTGATGGATTTAATAATATAATAACAGTACAGGATTTTGAATATGGATTAGATATTATTGAAAAGAAAGAAAGACCAACTTCAGATGTAAATACATTGGATTTTAAATTCATGAATCTGAAAAAACTAATTGAAGATAACACTAATTTGATTAGTCAAATAGAATTTCTTATTAGAAATACACCTATTAATGAGGTGCAAAACTTTGACATTAAACTGATATTACAAAATATATTATACAATACAACTGTGAGCTGCATATCACAGTTTTCAGGTGAGAGTTTTTAATTTTGATTGACTTAATAGTTGTGCCTAAAGTTTATATCATTAACATATGTTATTTATACTCTTATTAATAATCTGAAGAGCATGTTTGTTTGGTTGAATGTGTGTGAATGAATGTGACGTGAGCAAGACCTTTTTAAATTTTTTTTTATTATTTTTCAAAAAAATTATACTTAGGTTTAAACTCAATGTTACTAATACAATTGTATTTAGGCTAAACATATTTAGCAAGATAAACGCATTTAACTAAATTCTGTTTAGACCAAATGTTGCGCAAGCCACCCTTAATCACAGGAAGTACTGGTTTTAATTGAAAAAATATATAAATATAAAAGAACAAAATCTTTTCACTAATTTATCTAAATATATATAACTCAAAGGTGACTGACTGACATAGTGATCTATCAATTCACAGCCTAAACCACTGGACGGATCGCGCTGAAATTTGGCATGCAGGTAGATGTTATGATGATAATTCTAACCCCAAGGGGATAAAATAGGGGATGAAAAATTGTATGAAACTTTGACAATTTCAAACCAATTGGGCTGACGCTTTGCATGCATAAAGCTAATATGACATAGGCATCCCCTTAGAAAAGATTTTGATAAACTCCACCCCTAAGGGGATATAATAGGGGTTATTTGAGGTATTTTACACAAAATAATGAATAAATATTTGTTAGAAATACTGCTCAAAGTAACTTCACCACGCGGACGAAGTTGCGGGCTAAAGCTAGTTGCAATATAAACATTTATACCAGTTTTCTCTAAACTTAGGAGTCACCAAAATCAAAAGAAAAAAAGATTTATTTGAAATCAAAATAACCTGCTAAGGCAATTTGTTTTATTAGGTGTTTCTTAGTTAAGGTATACTTTGTTCTAGGGTTAGTGAAAATGGGTGTTAGAATCTTAAGTTGTTAGGGACAGATAAACATAAACTATGACATTAAAAAATAAGGTGTGGAAATGATGGACAGAAAGCTTATCTATTCTTAATTAAAATATCATGATTTATTAAAATATTGCAGAAAATTGCCTATTTATGGATTATAACACTCCTTTGGCTAATCTTGGCTGTGTGGCACAGATTCTAAGGCACTACACTCTATGTGTCATAGTATCTCGCAAAAGTACTGCAGCTGTTTGTCATCTATTCACAGAGTTATGTCATAAAGCGGGGTAAGAGAACTTTAGCTTTTGTTTGTTATTTTTATTTAGCATTAATCCGATATTATAGAATAATTTAAATATTTTTAAAAATATTTTCTAGTTTATAAAATAAATTAATGTACTACTTTGGTAAATAGTTTAGATAATGCTAAGTTGACTCATTAGTAAAATTCTAGTATAACTTAGTATGTTGATTTTATTTGCTCTTTTGTAATAAGCTACCATATGTGATTTTCAGTAATAAAAGGTTGTTTTTTATAGGCTTGCTGTTGAGCTCATATTCTGTGAAGATGAATATGTAATTAACTCTGTTAATTATGTGAACATGACAAGTGTTAAATGTAAGTATCAATTTTAGATTTCAATTTTATTATTGAAAAACAATGTATTATATGTACCTCATATGTATTTGCAGCCATCATGAGCGGATGCGTGGGTGTGATATCTGAGAATGCTGATATAGAATCAGCTGTGGACACATTATTAGAGACAACAGTTCGGGTGACTATTTATTTGTAATTTAATGTGTCCCACTAGTAATAAAAGGGATCTCTTCTTTTTGCAAAATAAATTTTTTAATTTCATATTATATGGTATACCTACCGATATGTAACATAATACCACTTTGCCATAATCATTGTTTGTTTTATAGTATTTATTGCCATAATTATCTTTTAGGCAATTCTTTGAAATACTTTATATTTGTGTCTAGACATTAAAATAAATTAGAACTGTGACTAAAATAAAAAGTTTGACTGGCTAGCGAAAATAATGTGACTTGGTTAGCGAACGTCAATACAAGTTTAAGGATGCTTTAATTATGCGTAAATAGACTTAGTATAAACAAAATTGTATTCCATATGTTATGTCAACATAATCATCTCACATCATGTTAACATAATGTGTATGTCATACATAAATGGATAGGGAACCGTAATGATAATAGTATCGCACCCTATTGCAACTCCAATCATTATAGTTCGCTCATTTTATAACCTAAAGCTGAAGTAAGATAATTGTATTTTTTACACAAAATTTCTTTAACGTTAAATGTGCTACTCTTGTCCAGGGCTTGAAACCGGTTCAGAATAAACCGTTTTTATTTAGGTAAAACCTGTTCTCTTATAATGTTCCGTTCCGGATCGGAACTAAATGCGAAGTGAAATTCGGATGGAATAAAAACCGGTTAATTTGCTTGGTTCGTAAAAAGCAATGTTCCTAGGCTTTTAATACAAATTATATCATTTTTAAGCCACGACATTTATCATACCTACGGATACTACGGATATACTACGGATACTACGGATATCGTACGGATATTATAGATAGGAGTAAAGGCACTTAAAAACCGCGCTGAAGTTTGTGAGATCATTGTTTGGAGTCATATTTAAACCGGTTAATGAAGAAAACCGTATTTCTAGTGAACCGGTTTAAAAACCTGTTCAAAGGAGTTGAACATTTTATGAAAAGTTTCGCATGTACTTACGTCGAACCGGTTCAAAAAATTAACCGGTTTCCAAGCCCTGCTCTTGTCTGGGGCACTACCATCCTTTTCAACGCGCATACTTTGAGGTACAATCAGGTTTGTTGTTGATGCAGGATTTCACTGTACTGTAAAAATATATCCTGCTACAAAATTTTAGCAAATGATACAGCTGTCCCTTGGATTTTGAATGGGGTATGCCTATGACTGTGAATAACTATAATATTAATTATTTTATTTTTATGTTACAGTATCCATGGAAATTGCAACGCGTTTTAGTACAAGAGAGTGTGTATAGTACATTCAAGAAGGCTATGCACTGGAAAACAAAGGATGTTCCATCACATACTACACAAAATACATTCTGTACGGAGACCTTTCATTACAAAGAAAAAACATTTTTAATAGATTGCACTGCTTCACAGAAACATGAAGGCGTCTATATTGAAGCTTATAGAACTACTAAAGAACTAATATCGCTACTTAAGAAGTACAACAATTTCTTTATGTCGTTGTGGACGGATAGTATTGTTGAGAGCAGTGAAATATCTCATCATGCTACAGCTGACGTCATTTGGATTAATAATTTTGGTTTATTCGACGGTCCACCGCTATCTTCACAAGCCGTATACGGAACTATATGTTCAAATTACAATCGTTCAACAGATACTTTTATATATGTCAATAAACTATGGAAGAAGCAACAGGAAGATTGGCTGAAACTCCCATTCCACGAACGCTGTAACAGACTCAATTATGTCTTGTGTGAAAATCTAGCTAAAAATGGAGAAAATTTGGTGTTGCAACAATTAAAAAATGGCTTAAAAGATTGGAAATGCGATTCTGTATGCGTATATGTTGATAATGGCGTGGCATGTGTGTGCACTGCGAAACCCATAGATTCTATATGTTACAAAAATGTTTCACGCGCAGATGCCTCGACTTTCACACAAATAATTAGAGATTTAGCACTCGGGTCACCTGTTGTAGTTGAATTTTGGAATGATGAAATTGCCAGTTTTCAGTCTGAAATGTCTCGTATTGGGGTGCCATTGTTTTTGTGCAGTGATGACGAGTTTGCCGACAGTGTACGTATTTTAGCAGTTGAAAGATCAACTAGTCGCACTAAAGTCGTATATTCCAACTTTGGTACAATTTTTGCAAATTAAAGATATTTTTATAATATAATAAATATTGCAAGTGGTGCTGCTCTAATTATGACAACTATAGTGTAAGTTTAAATATTTACCTATGTTATATGTATTTTAATCGAAATCAAAATAAATAAAATGTTTAATTGAAAATATACAGAGCATTTTTGAACCAACCAAGCAGCTGTGGATATACAAGTGACATATATTTTAATAGTTTCACTGAACTCATGAATCATTCGTGCAAATCTCTAATGTTATCACATCTCTACGATTATACACAGAAGTTGCTGGAATGTCTCAGTTCTATTCTTTATTATAGTTAAGAGATGGTGCTATTAATTATTTCGTCGATTTTTAACAATGAAAATACCCACTCTTGTAAAATTATATAATGTCTGAATAGTTTGCTAACTTAAAAAATATTTTTTTGGCCCCGAAGAGTTCTGTGGAATATTTGTAAAGAAATTAATTAATATTAAAATAAACAAAATATCCGACTGCGTAAAAACGAATTTAAAAAAATACATGAAAGAATTAACTTAAATAAAAACTAAAAACAAAAAGAAAATGGAAAATTGTCTAACTCTTTCAGACTACTTAACGTTCAAAGTTTCAACAAAGCTATTACATCTATACCATAATAAAAACGTAACCGTTCGATGTCCGTACATTGAAGATATATGAAAAAAACTGTTATGAGAGGCATTTATAAACATAACAGAACACAAAACAACCATTTTTATTTTTTTTTGTCTGTTTATCTGTTTGTCGGTTTATCTGTTTGTCTGTGCGTTTGTGCACGATAATCTCAGAAACGGCTGAACTGATTTAAATGCAGTTTTCACTATTATATTGCGGTATTCTTCCGTTAACATTTAGTGTAACATTTATTTCAATCGGTTCAGAAATAAAAAAGTTATGTCAATTTGAAGTGACGTGTTCGACAAAACTGCTATGAAATATTAACTGTTTTATTAAATTTCCTTCTTTGATATATTGATCATCATCATTAACTCTTTCAAAGCCAAACTGCAGGGCCTCAGGCCTTTGTTTAATAATTTTTAGTCACCCATCCCGTGAACAACTCTCGCGAAAATTGCTTAGCAATAGCGATCGTGCGCTGCGGCGCTTATCCGTAGCGCCACCGAGCTACGAATTAATATTGTCTATAAAATAATTATTTGTCTGATGACAAATAAAAAATAAGATTCCAAAATTTTGACTACTCCAAAGTAAGTTGACCTCATTTATATATGGCCAATGATATTAAATAGTGTTCAGCTTATAATAGACATGTGGTATACGATCACGCGAATAGGAGAACAAGCGAAAAGAGCCTTCCGATGATGGAATTAAGCATCGAGTAGTTTACAGTGAACGCAAATTTTTTATCAGAGTAGGTTCATGTCGTCGTCGGTGCCAGCGGAGGTGGTTGGCAGTCGCTCCCGCATTGCACGGTTTCGTGTGTTTGGGAGAGGCACTAGATTTACCCGAGCCTCTTCAATTTTTCATCTGCAAGGGGACCAATGGTCCAATACTTGAGTGTCCTGATGACTCGGCCACAGCTTGCCGGGTTTCATCTCCTATGAGAGGGTGTAGCGTACGGGTTTTGGTGGATAGGCCTCTGGAAACCCACTGGGCAACTCACTGTCGGTTTCACGGAGGAGAATCGTACTCACCCCTGTAGTTTGCCAGGTAATAGAGACAATGTCAGAAGCTTTTCTACGACGTTAAAAAAGTTTTCACGTCATTCACGTCAACTGAAGTTAAGAACGTAAAGACAACTCGAGTCATATATATTTTTTACTCTTATTATTATTTTTTATGTTAATACTCTTTTTTTTACACACAAATTGCTGTAGATACGTACTTCAAAGTTGGTATTTTCAGTCTTCGCTGGAAACAATGGTTTATTCATTGTTCACAACACTCATATAATATTACGCGAGTCTGAGGGACGCGATTATAGTTGTTAAGCAACTTTCGCAAAGGTCGGTCACAGGATGGGTGACCAAAAAATATTATTTCAAGCAGCTCCAAGCTTCGGAAAGCACGTAAAGCAATTGATCCCGGTTGTATTTGCAGTCGTTAATATCATCCAATCCGCATTGGGCCAGCATAGAAGGTCGTGGCCCATCCTCCTTAACCATCCATAAGGAAGGCCTGAGCTCCTGCATTTGGTGACGTAAAAGGGCTGATGATGTTGATGATGATGATGATGAGGGCCGTTCAAATCTGACGAAAGCTCAGTTAAGCACCTCTCGGAAGTATGTGTTAGTAGACGATTTCTTTCGAGTGTGGAAAGTCGTATTTTTTTTTATCAATAAATAAAACTCCGTCAGACATGTACTGACCGACTTTTATAGACAAAGAAAGAGATCAGACAGAAAGCGCTCGGTCTCGGGAGACACCTGAAAAACGCGAAGCGTATTTAACTGCCCATTGCGAGGCTCATACACTATAAAGATGAACCTGAAGCATTTACCGTCAGAGACAATCTCTTGAGCTCTCAGAGAACTCATACAACAAGCGTTTGATCTCAGGAAACTTCTGAAGATCGCATAGCGCGTCTAACTGCTGATCGTAACATACATGCAGTATGGTATGAATATGAAACTTCCTTTGATAGAGAAATGCGCTTATTCTCTAAAAAGCTCGCAGTTTGCACAATAGAGATCGAGAAAATAGTTTCGATTATTGCCAACCCGTGTTGCCTTCATACTCCACAGGCGTACAAAATTATAGCCTATGACATCTGCGTCTGATGAAGCTTCCCGTAGGTCGGAATCGCTCTGAAACTATCGGTCCAGTAGTTTTGGGGCAAGTTCGATGCAAACAAACAAACAACCAAATCTTTCCATTTTATAATATTAGTATAGCTTAGGTATAAGAGGTCCGATGGCGAAGTGGGTTAGTTCATTCGGTTTAAATTGCAGTTAAATGAGTAAGTAAATACTGCACATCAAGGAAATACATGAATACTTATTTTACATAACTAAGTACAAAAGACAAACTCATCGCTAGCCAGCGATTTCTTCCAGGCAACCTAGCATTACATGGAGAATAGAACGATAAATAGCCGATTGTGCAAACAACTAGACAAATAATAGTAATTTAAAAAGAACAAAAACAAAAGAAGGACAGTTTTAAGGTACGAATAAAATGCTCAGGCACAAGCGACAACCAGAGTGTGAGAAACCAGAAAAAATAACATTCGTAAGGACCATAATCTATGTAAGGACCGTTCACAGGATGGGTGACCAAAAAATTATTATCTTTGGCACTGTGCACAACACTGGCACAATGCACGTTAAGCCGTTAGTCCTGGCTGAATCGACAATGTTAACACCCACTGATCTGCATTAAGTATATTTATCTAGTATATTTAAATAACAGCTCAAAGCTCATTAGTTCCCAAAAAGAAAGCACTAAGAAAGCATTTCACTTGTTGGCGACTCTAGCCAAAGTTGATTATTGCAGGAACCGAATGGACCAAAGATAGTCATTTCCGTTCCTTTCAACTAACCTATTAAAAAACTTAAATTTGTAAAGTTCGAAACTTAGATATCAATACAAATACGAAAAAGTACAAAAAGAATATGAGTTGTTAATCGAGTTTTGAAAATTAATTTACTTTTATACATGAAAGAAAACCCGGAAGAGTTGTAGGTATCGAGTTTTGAAAATTAATTTAGTTTTATACACGAAAGAAAGCATCATAGCGACATCTAGTTTGATTTCGGGAACTAATGTTTTTTTAAATACTTCCTCATTGCTTAGGGCCAGTTTTTTGATCCGTGGTTAACTCAACAATTTGTTAAAATCTTCGACAAATGGTTAAATATCAGAAAATTATGTTTTTTGATTAGTAATTAGTCTAACCAATTGTCAGAATTCCAACCATTGGTCAAAAAATTTAACCATCACTGGAATCTAGGTTAAGCAAATGACTAATGGTTAAAAGAATAGATGTTTTTTACGTTGTTTTTATAACCGTACATGATTCCATAGTGAATATGGACATTAGTTATTTTAGTCATCCTTAGTATATTTGTACTATATAAAATAATTTGTTTTCTTGTTTCCACGGGCATATGCCAAATTATTAAATTATTAAAAATCTTATAAAATCCACGAATAGACAATACAAAAGGTAAATATGCCGACAGTATATAAAATACATATTCCTCGATTTTTTTTCAACATTACAACCCCACCTTGGATACTAGATACTATATTATTTTCACGCATTTCTCTATAAGATGGAGATAAGATAAATAAAAAACAAATATATGCTTTTTATAAAAAGTGCAAACTGAATTTTCAGGTTGCCGGCCCGATTTTTTCCGGTCCGATATGTCAGGCCATATATAGGTAATGCTAGCCTGTGCACTGTCAGGAATTTTACCGTCCGGGATTTTACTTTTCTCTATTCCGGACCGGTTTTTTCAGGTCTGTGATGGCGGCAATGAAAAACGTGTTTACGCTTATGCACTGCTGTGTCCGCGACCGCGATCCGGAGAATTCATAAGGAATGCGTTTGGGAAAATATAATCGATATTTATTTTGGCGATATCGTTAATTTCCAATAAACTTATAATCGATATTTATTGTAGATTATAAAATGCTATATTTTATATGATGATTTAATATAGTTGGAAAATATCACTGCATATGTTTGGCAAACTCGGTATAGTTCTAATTTGATCAGCGTGTGGTTCTAGTATCGATACTTAGCTAGATTTTAGAATCGTATTAAAAGTATCGATAACTTAAAGAGATAAATAAGTGTTGTTACGCTTAGACCCTTAAACAACTGAACCCATCTTAATGGAAATGAATATAGTAAATAGACTTAACTTTAAGAAAGGACATAGGCTACATTTGATCGCGAAAAATAGGGGATGATAGTTTGCCTGGAAATACGTCAGTATTAAAATTATTTTAGACAGTTGATAAGTATATTTTTATTTGATAACAGAAGTACTTATAAAGAATAAACAGAAGATTAACAGAAGTAATTAAGTGGCACACAATGTCTTTTTCGCATTTAAGTCTATATTGTAATAAAATTTGAAATGACTGTTTGTGTCATAAATAAAGGACATCGCCGAAAATGGCCCCAATACCATTAAATATTAATACTTCAATAACAATTATTAATTTATTTGTTAAATTGGTATCAACTATTTATTCGCTACGGACAAGCTGCGATCCAAAATTAATATTTAAAAGTACTTTAACAGTAACATTTCTATTCGTAAATATTCACATTCAATACACTTTAATTCTATTGAGTCAGATGGATGTTATTTACACGTCAGATCAAGAAGATCATTTATTTTTATTAGATAACCTTTAAGTCATCGAACACAAAAACATTAAATTAAATTGAAAGAAAATAAACGTCAAATTATTTACTAAAAGCGCCATCTCTTGGTGGTTTGCCAAATAAAACATAAGGACATAAAACTGAAAATTATATAAACTAAAATCACTAACTGTTAATGATGATAATTCACTCTTGTTTATTCAGAAAGAATGATATTCACACGACATATCCTAAAAACTACTTTGTTTCTATTACATTACTTTTATATTCCTTGTAAACATATTAACATCATGTCATTTACGTATTTAAGGCGCCACCTTTTGATGTAAACCATCAAAAAACTATAGGTTTTTTAATTTTAAATTTATCAATAGGTACATTATTTAACTATTAGAATGATTGATTTGTTTATTGACTTAGAAACTTTTACAAGTCACAACGAAAAACCGACATTCTTAAAGTTGAGTTTTTTTGCTTCGACAATATAAGACATCAATATCATGTCATGTACTTAAGAGTGCCGTCTCTTGGTGGTTTTTCAAACAAATTATAACCTCTAAATGAATAATACTTTGCGTGATAATAAGTTCTACAACTTGGTCGCGGTATTATAAATACATAATGAGGGTTAGTTAGTGACACATCAGTATTTTCCTATATCTTTTTGGCTCTGGGGCCACCAATGTATGAACGTTGAGCAATGTCCTTTAAAAAAAGAATATATTCTAAGGGAAAAATATTTCTGCTCAAAGAAACTACACCACGCGTATAAAATTATGCCTATATATAATACAGTCAACTGATCTCGTAAAGTTCATTTAGCATATTAATTCTCCGCTTACACGGCACTAATTTCGATTTGTTTACGAAATGGCGCCACCGATTGGTCTATCTCTGTAATCGCCTTAAGTTGCTTTTACAAAACTTCGAAAAAAAATAGCACGTTTATAAATTTAAACATCAAGTACTATTGAAGTACCTATTATCAGTTATTTTATTCTAATGTCACAGATATTTTTATCTATTGTATGTGAATAATGCTCTTCCTTAATTAGTAAGGGTATAAGTTTTTACATCATCCGATTTTAGTCATCCGATAGTAGAAAAAAAAAATGCTTTCGTCTTGGCTCAATTTATTATGGTTTATGTAAAATTAGCAGGTCATTATTTAGGTACCTTTCTACGACTTCGAACACAATTACCGACGTTCCAAAAGTGTAGCTTCAAAGAGAGCTGCTCTACACTGTCCCGCTCCGATCAGGAAAAAACGGACAAGTGCCCAAGCTATTCATCCGGGTTTTTCATGTCATTCCGCACCGGAAAAAATCGGACCGCCGGATCTGAAAATGCAGTGTAGTGCACAAGCGCCCTAAGTGAATGTCAAACAATTTTAAATAAAACTACTGTCAAGACGATCGTCGTTTCTCTATTGTTGACTACTGGTTAATATAGACGTTATTCTAGGGCTTAATAGGTTAAAACGATGTATTGTGGATATTAAAGATGAGCAGAAAGCCAAATCCTGCCATCTATTGACGTTTAATTATACCAAATTGTCAAATGTGCTTCCAAATTTAAAAATACTAAGGTTGTTTACTGTTTTAAATGTCGTTTAGTTCTTATTACAGTTCATAGATGTCACTGAAAGAAATGATGTCTCGTAATGATTGTGCTCATAACTCTAACAATAAAATACCATATTTTATACAATAGCAGTAAGGCGAGAGCATAACTTCATTGGGGATATGTTTCCTGACTTTCTATCTTCTCTGAATAATGAAAGCTAAAAATAATAATAATTTTATATGACGACAGAAACATAGAATTTTATTTCGCAGAAAATGTTTCACTTGTCTAATATGTAATTGATCTTTATATTTTTGTTAACATTTTTAAGAGTAGACTTATTTTTTAACGTATATTAGATATTCTTTGAAATTATTCGCCCCTTCTATTTAATTTGGGTCAACCAGAAGGCTATCTATCACACTAACGCGACTGTGTCAAGACTGTGTGGATAATCACTAGCTGCTATTGTAATGTGTGACCCGCACAGAAGAGATTAAGCACGATATTTGGGCGAATCATCAATTCACTTTTTACAAACCCCAGTTTATCCTCACAGATTTCTTTTTACCCAATTACGGCGAAGCGAATAAGAAGGTTATGATTTTGGCCGGTATGTATGTTAGAATGTTCATCTGTTCCCTTATAACTTGAAAACAACTCATCGTAACTGGACAAATGAGGTATCATTAGAAGCGTCTTACAATAGAGTATTTGACACTTTTCTTAAAACTATTTTAAATTGTTGTTTGCTACATTATAAACACACTGTCTTAATATTTCATTGGAATCTTTTCTATTTTCGGTGAAAATAATTGTTAAAATTTAAATAGCCAAAAGCGCGCTAAAAATTCTGCTTTATGTAATGGCGCTGATCGTGACGTCACAGGCCAGTCAAATCGATAAGTAACAACTGTCTTTAGAGTAAATTGAAATAATAATTTAGAAGAGAAATTGAAGTCGTAGTGCGTATTTTTTACGTTTTTTATTTTCCTCTGCTCTGGTTTTTTTTTTAAATGAGCTACAAGTGGTGCGTAGTGCCACAATGTACTAATATAACAAACAAACTTCGATTCTAGAAGAAAATAGATTCACAATAGTATAGTAGCTATATAGAGTAGAGATGGGTGATAAAATTAGGTAAGGATTCGCTAAAAGTATTGAAACTTTTTTATTTCATATCGATACACTTGACGGTTTTCTTTTTGGTTTATTTCTTTGTCATAAACATTTTACGACTCATTTATATTTGTTGACAGGGCTCGCACTTTACAGCCTGTCGACCTACAGATGGATGAGACATTAGTATGAAAAAGAATGTTCTATTTTTTTTATACATGCATGTAGTATGTCTGTTTTAAAACGCTTAGTAAATGATTCTCTTTTTCTGTATTTCTTTTTGGCAGTTCTTATCAGTAGAAACGGCAGAGTATTCTGTTATCAGTAAATTACTATAAAGTACTCGATACCTACAGGTATCGATATTTTATGTATCTTAATACTTTGACATGACAGCTGATGACGTCACAGGCCAGTAAACAGAATCGTGATTGGTTGTGACGACGACCAATTATAGGACGTTTTCGTCGTTGAATAAATTCCTAAAAATATTGCATTTCCTTTACGTTATTTACTAAATCTGAACATGTTTTTTCTGCAGATGTTAAGAAATAAGCTTTATTATATTATTATCAATAAGGATGACCACAAAATGCAACTTATTTTCGATAGTGGCAATAACCCTATTAGTTGTCCGCGTGCTAGAAATAAAAAAATATATAATTATAAAATTATTCCCTGTGGGGTACCAAATGAAAGGGCTTAATTAGCATATTTCAAATATATATAAATTGATAGCTTTTGCTTGTGATTTTGCTTAAATACACCCGAAAATTAATTAAATAAAAAATTACTTCGAATAATATAGTTATCGCTATAAAATAAATGTCTTGTTTTAAACTTTTTAGAGTGTGATTTAGTTGTAGTCGGGTTTAGTTTTTGAGCTTATTTTTTATTTAATTAATTTTCGGGCTTAGACAGGCTGCTATGGTTCCACATCAGGTTTTCAGACAATTCAGTTTCATAGTCTTAGTTAAGTGGGTATATACATAATTAAAACTTAACCGCAGAACTGCTGATTTTTGATGAGTTCCCTGGTATATCTTCCACATTGATGACCAGACTTAAACCAAATTTCTGTCGAACCACACGGACAGTACTCTTTTGCATGCAAAAATATTTTTTCAAATCGGATTATATATCCCAGAGATATGCGGTAACATAAAATCTGGTTGAATGAGGAAGTATTTAAAAAAAAGACATTAGTTCCCGAAATCAAACTAGATGTCGCTACGGTACGTTCTTGATTTCTCCATGACAACCTTTCCGGTTTTCTTCCAAGTTAAAAAGTAAATTAGTTTTCAAAACTCAATAAACAACTCGTATTCTATTTGTACTTTTTCGTATTTGTATTGATAACTAAGTTTCGAACTTTCAAATTTTAGTTTTTTAATATGTAAGGCAAAGGAACGGAAATGACTGTCTTTGGTCCATTCGTTTCCTGCAAAAATCAACTTTTGGTATATTCGCCATCTAGTGGAGCAATTTAATTGTGCTTTCGTTTTTTTTAAATATGTCTTCATTGAGAACCTCTTTCTTTTTTGAAGTCGGTTAAAATCTCCCTTAGCGGGTTAGGATAGGATTGTGCGTTATTTGAGAATCTGCTTTCAGTTTATTTTTCGATTAAAGGGCCTGTAAAAGGGGCGTGCAAGCATGTTACTATAGCAGCGGAAAATGCACGATTGAAATGCTTCCTTAGGTAGAGATCCCACAAGTCTGAAACTTAACGATTTGTATAACCTATACCTAAGTAAATTTAAACGCGGTGCGGTCTTTGCCTAAGTGCTTATGTTCCGTGCATATCTAATAGAAAAATGTCAGAAATAACATTCAACTATAAGCACACGACGAAAGTACCGCCGCATACGCATACTTCCGTAAAACGTTTGGCGGATCATCCGTCATATTCGCTACGACCCTAACGAGAAAATCAAGAAGGCTAAGCGTTAAAATTTTCTTTGTGTGCGAGGTTCAAAGTCGATTTTCATTTACCATTACAATTTCTTCGTGAGCTATGTAGAAGCGCATCAAGATCAGTCAGTGTTACTTTGGCGCGCGGTGTGTGCGCACGCGCGGATTTTTCTTTTCGAGCGGTTAATTCAAATTTTGAGTCGTGTCAAAGAAAAGGAATTTCATTGTGTTGTATTTTGTGTTGTGGTCAGTGATTATTTTTTCAGTAGTGTGAATTTTGAATTGAGCGCACATTAAAAAAAGTTTTTATGTAAGTATTTGATTATATAAAAATGTTTTTATGTATATATTTGATTACCTACTCATGTTATTTAATAATTAGAATTTATTACAAATTACTATTGCAACTTATGTACTTGACACCTTTTATTAAATAAATAGCATTATTCATTTACTCATTAAACTATTAAAAAGTCATTAAATGGCTATCTAGTAAGGAAACCCTCGAAATTATTAGGTTCAAAACTTACGCAATAAATAATATACATAATTTACTGTTTTGTACTAATTATCTTGATACGTAAATGTAAGGTCAATTATATAATAAAAATACCTATAACAGAAATACAGTTTTAGCAAAGATACGAAATACTATCAGAGCATTGAGGTTCAATGAAATAAAAGCAAAAGGTATTTTTTTTTTAATTCATCAAACCTATGCTGTAACATCGCTGTGCTAGACTGTAAAGCCGTTCGCAAAATCTTATATTCTAATAATGTCACAAACATTAAATTTCAAAAATATTAACTACACTTAGGACTAACATTAATCTGCTCCGGTTCACCGGAGCAGATTAATGTTGATTAGTAAAAAATCCAATAAATTCTTAAAATAATACAGCTAAGTGTCCGGTTTTTACAGTTTTTTATTTTCTAAAAACCTTATAATCTTCTCAGATTAAAAAATCACTAACTTTAATTTCGAGCAAAGAAATAAAACTTAAGAAAGCTGAAGATAAAAATGAAAAAACTTCATGATAATTGTGTACCCAAGGGTGCTATCTAAATCTAATTTCTACTGATTGGGTCTAATTGTCTGATTTAAAAATATATCACAATCCTTACAGTTTGACATTTGAAAGATATTCACTTTTGTAACGCTACAAATATTTAACGTGACAGCGACGGTTTTTCTAAAAATATTGAATGAACGATCTCGTTAGTTTGTCGTTAATTAAAATTGTCTGAGACAAAGTTGCGGGAAAAAGTTAGTTCCCGTACTTCCCGTTAGTTGCATCCATCCAGATTTCGGGATGCATTTGTTTTATTTGGAAAACCGGTTACCGGTACAAAGAACCAGTTTCGTGTTGCCCAAGTTTTTAATGATATTATAGTATGATGTAACGATGTTGAGCGCTAGTGAAGATATCTACTTAATGATCAATAATGAGGATTATGTGGACCACTGATAAATAAGGTGGGCGGAAAATCCAAGCACTGTTCTTGTTCCTCACTGCGTGGCTAAGACGGTTTCTAATTATCAAACTAAGTATTACGGATTGCGATTAGAATAGAAAATTATTTATTGTTAATATTATACACATTTAAAATATTACATAAATTTAAAACAGTTTTACAAAATTTTGTAACAATTGGCGGCCTTATCGCTTAAAGCGTCTTCTTCAAAAATATGGCAAGATAATGAAAGTCTTATATAAGATAGGAGATTTTGTTTATTTGCTCGACATGTGTTTTTCCAATACGTAAATCTATACTCATATTATACAAAGGATAGATGTAATTGCTTTTTTATTTGTATTGGATAGACTCCGAAACTATTGGACCGATTGTAAAATTCTTTCATCTACGTGAGACTAGATATTACATACGCTATAATTTACCTCAGCGAAGTCGGGGGAAACAGCTAGTATGATAGAAATTGGATCACAATACAAGAAGAAATCTGTGATCATTTGCACATATACCCGTTGCATATAGAAATTGCCCCTTTCGGTTTTTGAACGAATGCTGAATACGCTATATTTTGATATATACATGTCATCTACATATTTAGGTGTTATTTGCATATCATATTATATTTATACATATAAAAGCATATTTTATTTTGTTATATAAAGAGAACTACTGATTTAATAGGACTACTTCTGGCCATTAAGCTGTCGAAAACGATTTTGAAAATCGGTCTATAATTAATAAAAACATCGACGTCGTACATATAATTACCCCCTTTTTGATTCTAAAGTCTTTTAATAAAATATAAATTTCAATAACATCACATACATTGCTCAGATTCCAAGATAAGTAGCTAAAGCCCCCGTATTATGGAGTATCTGAGACAACGAAGGTACCACAACAACCAGACCCGAGACAATATAGAAAAGTTCATTTTCTACATTGACCAGACCGGGACTCGAACCCGGGACCTCAGAGATGGCGACACCTTAAAACCGGCGTGCGAACCACTCGGCTACGGATACGCTATATTTTTTTCCCTGCTGATATAAATATTTCGTTTTGTTTTAAATATAAAACTACCAATTCAATTTCGATGAAAATATGGGACTACCTTCGGCTCATAAGCTGTCGCGTGTGATATTATAGCCCGCGTATGATGTAGCTTTCCGTAGATTTAAGTCGTTTCAGTATTTTCGGAACCTATTTGATGCAAACAAACAGTTGAAACTTACTTCTTTCTATATTTTTTGGTGTACGCAATTTCTTATCCATGAAAAAATCAACCTTGCTTTCTTTACTAAAAGTGGACTTTTTTTTTAATGAGAAAATTATTTTTAGTGAATTATACTTGTATTATTATTGTATGACGCCAGTTATTCCAAATGGTTTAATCGAGTAGAACGTATAACAAACAGTATCCAAGTCGATCGTAGATTTGTATGTACCAATCAATCGATATTCGCCATTTGTGTGTTATTTCATACTTATCTAAGAGTACCTTTCCATGGTCCTGTATTAAACATATAAAGCTTACTTTTGCATCACTCTGTATTGATGTGTGTAGTTTAAAAGATAAAAGCGCACAGACAGCGGGAAGCGACTGTTTTATACTATATATAAACAGAGACGTAGTGTATACCTATTCCACCAAAAACATTTTCATGTAAAATGTCGCCAAGTCGATACCATTGGGTCATACTGTCAAAAAGTTTTCAGATCTTATATAGAACGCTTTTAACTCTACAAGTATTAACTTGACAAATTCTACATCAAAGTCAAAGTATGTGGCTTGGATGTTTTATTACCGTTACATAGACGTAAGGTTACCACATATTTATTATTGATTAATATATTATTTATGCACATAAAAAGTAGTAAAAAGAGTGGTGGATAAGCGCCATGGCGCCATCGTTGTTGTTAAGCAAATTTCGCTAAGGTCGGTCGCGAGATGGGTGACCAAAAAATTATTATCTCGAGCTACTCCGTGCTTCGGAAGGCACTTTAAGCTGTTGGTCCTGGCTCCATTTGCAGTCGTTAATACCCTCACATTCGCAATTGACCAGCGTCGAGGGTCATGGCCCATCCACAAGAAGGCCTGAGCCCCTGCAGTTGGTAACTGGGTACATAAAAGGGCGCAAAAGTACAAAGACGAACTTAACACCTGAGGCGTTTTCTTTAGTTTATGTAAACTATTATACGGTTAGTTTATTTTCTGTTGTAAGTACAATATCTTATTCTAGTAATATCAGACAGTCTCGCATTTTGGTTTCTAGGTGTCGCTATCTCTAGAGTCCCGGGTTCGATTCCCGGGTAGTAGTGCGACCGCCTAAATCTCTCGCAATAACTAGCCATAGCAATAAAAACGTTTTATTGATTTCATCAATCAAACTGTTGATATTTTTTTTATAATTTTATATTTTTATTGTTTACATGTGCTATTAATAAAAAAAAATATTGTTGGAGTAAATTTATGCTAAACTTAAAATTTTAGTATTAATCCAAATTCATGTTATACAGAGAATAAGTAACCTTCTAAGAGTAAATGTTACACCCATAGAACCTCGTACTAGGTTAACTTTTGCTAATTCTCTGTTTGATAATATGAATTTTGACTAATACTAAAGTGCATCTCAGCGTTAATTTACTCCAATGCTAAACCTTGTTTATTAATAATGCCGTATATGTTTAACGATACATTTGGTTTATTTTTTGAGATGAGATTGCTTAAAAGCAAACAACAAAATTTAAGCTCTATTTATTGTATTACACGCTTCTAGAACAAAACTTATCGATTAAGAAAATTTCAATGGATTTAGTATCAATTACACCAAAATTCAAAGTACTGTAATGTGTATCATACATACCAATTTTTATATATAAAGAAAGAGTCCCAATATAATACCCTTAAGGACCTTGGAATTCAGAACAACGCTCATTATGAATGCACAGTAGCTACTTGGATACCTTTCTCTTTTAGCAGTATGTTAGGGTTGAATATCCTTACGAATGGGATCGCAATTTTCCGTCTTTCCGTCCTTTCCTTTCTTAAAGGACACACGTTTGCTTGAGCGAGAAGTTGCAAAACGCATCCGTATATCTGCATTCTTGAGCTTGACGGCCGAACCTTAAGACCTTCAGGCTTCGCATTGCACGTGTTTACATGTAAAATGGACTTTTACTACTTAATCACTCCGATCGTAACGTTAAACGATAATGTCAAGATTGTACATAATTATTTTGAGCGTATTTTTATATGTAGTTGTATACAATAGGTATTATTCTGACATTATTATTAATTATTATTAATCTGACAATTAAAATGACTGGCTGTTTTCTTGAAACCTGCAAATTATAGCCTATGTTATTTGTGTGTGATGAAGCTTTCCGTAGGTGAAATATTTATTAAAATCGGTGCAATAGTTTCGGTATGCAAACAAATAAACATTCAAATCTTCCCTCTTGATAATATACTAGTTATTTCCCCCGACTTCGCGTTAATTATAAATTATTTCAACCCTGTATGAAGTATGTACCAGTAGGTGGAATAATTTTTAAAATCGGTCCAGAAATTTTGGAACCTATTCGATGCAAACAAACAAAATATTACTTCAAACAATCAATAAAAAAATCCTCTTCAGATTATGATATTATTGATGATTTATGGTTTGTATTAAAAAAAAATCCTTGGAGTTTTTCCATCAAATTAACTTAATAAACAAGTATTAAAAAATAATAAAACGTGGCGTTACAAAATCGATTTGATATTGTAAAAATGAGGAAGTGATATGTCGTTAAATCTCAGATCTCAACATTATGTGGGTACATAGTTTTATG